TTTGTGTTTCTCTAGCACCTACCAGGGTATTTGGTATAACTAGGGCACTTTCTAAATGCTTGTTGAAACACAAATATGTGATTGAATAGAACTTACCATGTTAAAATGATCTAAAATACTGATCTAAATTTTTACTGATCTAAAATTTTCAAAATGAACTCGTCAACAAATGTGGCTTGAGCATGTGTGATATAAAAGCATGGTGTTGCATTAGACATGAAAAAGTACCGATTATGGCCTCTGCCTTAAGAAACTTGCAATCTAGCCAGGGTCAGATGATATATATAAAAGTAAATGTTAATTAAGAGAGAAATTATATTAATGAACTGAGAAAAAGGAACTTCTCAAGGCATTTACTAAGTGAGTGAAGTAGAGATGAGTTATAGGATCTTGGGAGTCTGAGGAGGTCACTATGGCCTAGAGAAAGGGTTCTACGAAATATGACTTGATTAGTTGGAACTCTATGTTGCAAGTGGCAAAAAGAATTAGCCCATAATGATTTAAATAATAAAGGGAAACTATTGGCCAAAATTCCTAGGAATGACTGGCTTCATATTACTGGCATCTAGCTTGCAAGTAATATGGCCTGATTTCTCTCTAGTTCTCTGTTCTTCCCTTTGAGGTGCCAGCCTCTTTCGTTTTCACCCACATTTTGTGATATTATCACCTTTCCCTTTCCTCTCCCAGCAGTACCATGCTCTCCCCTTGAAGGGTATCATTTCCAGACCTCAGAGCCTCACCTTATCTTTCTCAAAATGTTCTAGCAAATATGTATTTACATTTCACTATCTCTGATTGTTGTATACCATCACTGAACTAATCACTATGGCTACAAAAACTGGCTGATTGATTTCAGCCAATTAGTGCCCACCCCAAAAGTATGGAAAGGTCATTCATACCCAACACATGGCTTATAATATAAAAAGGTGGTTGCCCATGAATATACAAGATACCCAGACAGGCCAGTGTGTCACCTGGAGTGGGAGGGAAAGCAGTGTGGCTTGGGAAACATGGCTTAGGACTCCACTCCACAATTCTGACTTGCTGCTCACTTGCTTCATCTAAGCCAGATGTTAAAAGAGATCTCAGAACATGTGGCCTCTCCCCATAATCCTTCTTTAAATCATGGCAGAAGAAAGAACTTTGGATTAGCGACCAAAAGCTCTTGCCTTCTGGTCTTGGCTCTGTCAGGACACTAAATCTTTCCAATCCTCAGTTCTCTCAGCTATAAAATGCAGATGATGACCCCTGCCTTCTCCGCATTGTCAAGAGAATCAAATGAAATGGTCAGTTTGGAAGCTCCTTCAAAATTATCAAGATATATTTGGAAAGTACAATTTGTAATCTTACCCTTAGTGCTCACTTCCATATATTCCTCCTCTTGAGGACTTAAAAAAAATCAAGCCAATGCACTCCCCCAGCTTCCCTTTGTTTACCCCCCTCTAGACAGTCTGTCAATTTTTCATCGATATGCTTTCATTAGTATACTCTGTATCAGTCATGGTACTTTTGGGCACCTGGGTGGCTTAGTTGATTAAGCGTCTGCCTTTGGTTCAGGTCATGATCCCAGGGTCCTGGGATGAAGCCCCACATTGGCCTGCTCAGTGGGAAGTCTGCTTCTCCCTCTCTGTCTGCCCTGCTCCCTACTCATGTTCTCTCTTTCTCCCATAAATAAATAAAATCTTCAAAAATATATATATATATATCATGGTGCTTTTAGCTCAAGGAACAGAAAACCAGAACCCAGGCAACTTTAACAATAGGCACTTTATTATCTCATGATAAGGAGTCCACAGATAGGGCTGGACCCAGGGACAGTAAGTCAGCCAGTATCTCCACCTCCTGCAACTCTTATGGCTCTGACTTCACCTTAGGGTTGCTCTCATCCTCACCCTTGCTACAAAGTGGCTACAGTGGTTCCAGGAATCACAAGCAGACAACTTTTCCTTTGTATGCCCCTCTCTCTCTCTCTCTCTCTCTCTCTCTGTCTTTTAAGCTATAACAGCTTTCCGAGAAAAACCGTTCATGTCTTATTGATTAGAACTGGCCAAAGCCCACTCCTAAACCAATCTCTGGCAAAAGGGAACAGGATCCATATGATTGGCTGAGATTACTCAGGATTCACCCTTGAGCTGGAGACAGGGCTATTTTCTATACAGCCAGGTGATGGAAAACGATCTGAAAATGATCAGGGCCTAATGGCTGAAAAAGTGGAGTGATTGGCTATCGGGTAGGCAGCCGATAGCATCTGTGTCCCATATGCCGTAAATGCCCTGCTCATCTCCAGGGGCCTATGACTTCATTGCAAACCACTGACTTCTGACCATTAGCACCTGTATTTCTTTGCTTGTAAGCAATTTGGTCTACTGGGAGCCTGCACTGCTGCCCACGCAATAAGCCAGAAATACTGGGGGATTGATATTCCCACCCTGGGAACAGCCCTCAATGACCGATGAACCATATTCCCCAAGTATATAAATACCCAAGTTCCCTCGTCTCTGGGGTAAGATAACTCTGTGCTCTTTGCTCTGTACTGGCTTCCAGAATTTCCCCAGCAAAATTAAACTCCAGTTGGCCACAGGGGTTGCTGGCTTGACAACACTCTTACAGGCTGCCTTCCTTTTCCTGTTTTACCTTCTCATTCTGCTATGGCTTCTCCTTCACCTCCTTTGACTTCCTGTCCAGAGTTAGTTTTTTGGGAAACCCAAATGAACATACTATGTACCATATGCCAAACTTCTTCCTGAATTCAGAGTCTTTGTATATAATTTTCTCATCTGTGTGGAAAATGTTTCCTCTTTCTTCTCACCTGATGCACTCATTCTCCCTTCCAGTCTTGGTGTAAATGTCACTTCTTTTCAGAATTCTTCTTTGTTCGCCTCTCCTCCTGACACCACTCCCTCAATCTTTGCGCTCCTATTCCTTAACAATAATTACAATGGTTGTAATTTAACTTTTTGTGTAATTTAATTAATTATTTACTTCCCATCTTTATCCACAACTAGACTGTGCACAGCTTGAAGGTAGGGGTGATGTTTTTGGCTCAACACTGCACCACTGGCCTCCAACACAATGTCTGGCACAAAGTAGAGGGTCAAGGACTTACTGGCTGCTGGAAAGATGAGGGTTGTGAGAGACTAAAGATGCAAATTTGAGGTCATTCACATGGGCAAAATGATCAAATCTTTCCATCAAATCTTTTCCATGAAAAAGATCTTTGATTTACATGACTTCTACCTGAATCTACATTTGTTTCTTAGGGCAGAATATAACTTTTATATATGAGGGGATATCCACAATCTAAAAGAGAATCTTGGAGTGGCTCATTTATAAGAGATGCCACTCTAATCCCCTTGTTTTATTTATATATTACAGATTTCTACCTAAAATCCACCATTGATTCATTCATTTGTTGAATGCCTACTACTTATTAGGCATTGTACCTGGCAAGACCCTGGCACTATCTGGCTTCAACTGTTTTCAAAAGTCATGAGAGAGATTATATTGATGGAGATTCCTTCTCTGCCTCCCCTCACAAGTCCTTCTACATTGAGCTTTTGGCTTTCATTAAAAGAACAAGGAACAATCTAATGAAAGTAATCACTATATCTGCTAAAAAAAAAAAAGTATCTGAGGGCATTGTCTGTTTTGTCACTCAGTGCTCACATGGGATAAGTTAGTGATAAGTGGCATGAGGCACAGTAAAAATAGACATGCATGCTTGTCATCTCTTTGCCAGATAGCCTCTTTCTTAACTAATCCCTAAACCAGATCGTTGCCTCCGCATGTGACTGATGCAGGTTTTATGGGGTTTGAGGTTTATATAATTTGGAATCCTTTGAGAGAAAAGTGCAAGACTACAAATAAAAATGTCACACAGAGCCTTGGAAATGGTATACCCAAGTGAGGGGTTCTAAAGTTCAAGCTTCACTGGTTTTGCAGCAAATCAGCATCTGACCTCGATTCAATGAACCTGCTCTCCTCTGCCCCTTACCCCTGCCATGGTCATTCTGACCTCTATGCCTTGTTTATATTGATTTCTTACTTGAAAGTTCTTCCTCTTCCTTCTTCAATCTGTGGGCCATATTTTTTTTTCATAGTTGAAATCCCCAATGCCTTCTTTGATTCTACTTAGCAGAAAGCTCTCCCTTCCCAAAGGCCCACACGCTGTGAATATAGTCCAGGATATTTTGTCTCTTTTTGGCTTAAATTGCATCATAAATTGCTCTATTTAAGTACATATAGTGTGCCTTCTCCAATTAGTGTCCACTTTTTGGGGTATAGGGACTATTTCTTCACTTAGATCTCTCCTCAGTACCTACTAAAGTTCTGGGTATAGCAGTAAGGAAAAGAAAAAGGAAAGGTGTCATGAAGCAGAATTATGGGGTCTGGAGTGAAGCCAAATTGGTTTGAGTTCTAGTTCTGCCACTTACTGTTGTGGGGCTTTAGGCTTAACCACCCTGAGTTCAGTTTTCTCACTGATAAATCAATATAATCATGATGTTTATTTCACATCATTGTGAGGATTAAATAAAAGCATTTATTCATTCACCAAATATCTATTTAGCCCCTCTCTTGGGCTATTTCTTGTACCAGAAACTTGGAACACATGTAACTGAGCAATAGTCTCTGTATGGGGTTTCTCATAGTTGAGTTGGGAGATGGAAATTTATAATGTAACAGAATAATACTATAGCAAACACAATCAGAGCATAGTAAGTGCTTAATCAACAATTGTGCAGTAACTGACAGAATAAAGGAATTCAGAAGAGAAAATGGTTAATTTTGCAAAGTAAGTAGGTCTTCCCATATTTGCCACATCATCCCTATCTAAACACACTGTTTATTATAATGTATATGACAGTGTATGGGAACTTATAAAATGCTACATGTAAAGAAAAAATAAAACCAGAGGACAAAGAATGCGAGGAGAGAGGGAAAAGGGGAGGAAGAGAGGCCTCAAGGAGGCAAGAGGTGAGGAGGGACCTATGTGGACCCACCTGGCCGAGTGTGCACTCCATGCCTCCCAGGAAGTCGGCCTCCTTCAACCCATTGTGGTTGCTGCTGATGTCATGGACTTCAAACCGCAGACGCTGCACCTCTTCAAAGTAAAAGTCCACAGTGAACAGTTTTGAATACACCGGGTTTATGCAGGTGCGAATCACCTCTGTTCTGTCAACCTGCAAGGAGAGAAGAAGAGAAAACACCACCATGGATTAGGGCTTTAGGTGAAATAATGTTATAGTTTAGGTGAAATAATGTTATAGTGCTTCCCCTTCTTCCAAACCATAAACGCCCTCCGTTGAGCCACCAGAGTAAGCAGTTTGAAAATCCACAAGGAAGCACCCTCAGAGAATGAGCCACATTTCAAGGAAGGAAATCTTATTAGACAGAATAATCTGAAGCTTTGTATTTAAAGACTTAGAGCATGTTGGATTGTTAGGGAATAGGGCAACAAGACGGATTAATGATGAGTGACTGCCTGGAACCCTAGCATGAAAAAGAGTCTGACAGCACATCTGGGCTCAGGAGGAAAAAAGTCTGCCATAGACTAGTGATGTCTGATGGGCACAGTAATGGCAAAAGACCATATAGGCACCCCATTTTAGCCAATCCTACTCTAACAGGAATTTTGTGACTCCTAATTCCTAGCATAGTGAAATGGAAAGGCCAAGAGAGAAGGAATGAAGATGACTGCCTTTGGTTTCAACTATGCCTTTAATTGAGTTTATAATGGTTGCTCAGTCATTTCAACTCCCTGAGCCCCAGTTTCCTCATCAACAAAATGAGGATTCGAGGATTCAAAGATGAAAAGCCCCTTCCTGCTCTAATAGTCCACGAGTTATGACTCCCTTTGCTTTCTGTGATAATAACTCTCCATTAGCCTCTCTCTCTCAGATCCGTATCTGCCACTCTCCACCCTACTCTTGCCTTTGGAGACTGACTTCTATGGATGGAATTTCCTGGCCTTCCTTGCCTCTAGGTTCTGGTTTGGTTTGACTCAGCCAAAGGGAGGACTTAGCAGGAGATCAGACAGTGGGAGGGCAGAGAGGTGATGACAGCAGCACCATGCCTCTGCACACATCGAGTCTGCTAGTAGACTCCATTCCACAGAGGGAGCTTTTGTGGGTTCTCATAACACAATGCCCCCTCCCTCTCTTGATTCTTCAGACCACTGCCATTACTATCCCTAATGAGCCTCACCATCCTTTGTTGGCTTCCTTCTCCCTTCCCATGCCCCCAGAAATTGTCCCTCTATAAAGAGTTGAAACCTTTAGATGAAACTCTTTGGGTATACCATCTCTTCTTGCTGGTACCACTACCGTTCTTTTCTTCTATGTCTTTCACATGTCAAAACACCATTTACAACACCACTGATATCCTGGTATCTCTGAACTGGAGATATCCATTACTCGAATTTTATGAATCAGCTGGAGCCTACATGTACTTTTGGCTTTCAGATGGTCTCTTGGATACTTCCTGAGTGTTGTTCATTAGCACAAACTGGGAAAACCATTTCCTGTATTTTCATTAGAGTACAGAGAAACAGCTCTCGAAAAACTGAAGGGAATACTGTCTTTAACCATATCATGTGCGTACAGGTTATCCAGCAAAGAAAGAATTCTTGCTGCAGCATCCCCTACATTCTTGCGCTCAGTGTTTTGTCCCTGGCCCAACCATCCCTCTGAGCCCTGTGTGAGAGTGAGTTGTCCTGTAGGGAACGTCACCTGCTATTCCTAAGGGGATGGCCTATACAGGTTGTGAGGAGAAGGAGAGTATGATTCTGGTCATGTCCCTGTACAACAGACAGAAAACCAAGTCCCAAACTACTATTGACCAGCATTTTACAATAAGCTATTGTTCAGACCAATGGTTATTTGACTCTGCTGGCTTCTTCTGAAGGACCAGCTTCTATCTGAACTGAGTTTTCCATTTTGTAAATTGAAATTCAAGTTAGTTAACATATAGTGTAGTATTTGTTTCAGGAGTAGAATTTAATGATTTATCACTTACATAAAACACGCAGTGCTCATCTCAATATGTGCTCTCCTTAATGACCATCATTCATTAACCATTTACCAAAGACATTCATTCATTTACCATCATTCATGCCCTCCACCTGGCTCCACTCCAGCAACCCTCAGTTTGTTCTCAGTGGTTAAGAGTCTCTTATGATCTGGGGTTTGGTCAGCTAAGCGTCTGACTCTTAGTTTCAGCTCAGGGCATGATCTCAGGGTTCACAAGATCGAACCCCACAAAAGGTTCTGTGTTCAGCAGGGAGTCTGCTTGAGAGTCTTTCTCTCCCTCTCCCTCTTCCCCCTCTTCCCCATGCTCACTCTCTCACTCTCTCAAAATAAATAAATAAATAAATCTTTTTTTTTTCCCTAAAGTCTTTTATGGTTTGCCTAAATTTACATTTTTATATAATATTCATTCAGTGGGATAGGACTGAATGTGTCATTGGCTGTTTGTATAGGTGTAAGGATTTACTATATTGACATAATTTTTTTTAGGCGTTAAAAGATCACAGTTTTGAATAATAGCACAAGTCAGAAATCACAAACCAGCAGTCTGCAAGTTCAAGCTCACCTGGAGATGTTTTATTGGCCCCATTTAAAAGTACTTTCCCCCTTAACTTCCCAACATAAAAGGCAACAACAACAACAAAAAACACCCAGTGTGTCTGGGTGGCTCAGTGGGTTAAAGCCTCTGCCTTCGGCTCAGGTCATGATCTCAGGGTCCTGGGATCGAGCCCCACATCGGGCTTTCTGATCAGTGGGGAGCCTGCTTCCCCCTCTCTGTCTGCCTGCCTCTGTCCCTACTTGTGATCTCTCTCTCTCTGTCAAATAAATAAATGAAATCTTAAAAAAAAAAAACAAAAACCCTTTTATAGGACTATTTTAAAAATATTTTAAATATTTAAAAATATTTTTAAAAATTTTAAAAGGGAGATAAGAGATAGGAGGTGGAAATTCCATCAAATCCCAGTCTTTGTTTCTCTGCTTTAACCATCCCAGATGGCACAAGGGGCTGATGTGCATTGATCCTGGGGCTTTTCTTCTCAATTCTTGATTTTCTGATGACAATCCTACATAGATAGAAGTTCATGTTGGCATCAAGACACACACGTCAGACAGTCTATCCAAGGCAAGCTGCCAACATGCAACATGAAATGATTCGGTTTTTGAGGGAAAAGACTGGTTGGAAAGAAATTAAGAAATACACATCTGCATTACCAAGATAGATAATTTCCAAAAATAATCTCAGAGTTAGTAAGAATCCTAAGAGCATAAAGGAGCTCAGAAAAAGAAGAATGTTCGTAGAGGAAGTGCTTGCAATACTAAAGGCCTATTTAGAAGATGTTTCAAAACTTTCTGCATTCCTAGCCATTACAGGAGATGCATTATCTTTTCTGGAGACTGAAGCCAGGTTTAATCAGAGCAATAGAGCCTGGGATAGCTCATGTTTCTCACTGGGAGGCATGAAAATCAAGGTGATTGTTTCCAAAAGACCATCCACTGACAGTGCTCCCAGCTGCATCAGAATTCATCAGTGAGCTTTTTTTTTTTTTAAACAACAACAACAACAAGTCATTCCTCTTTTTTATCACCAGTGATTCTGACTAAGCAAGTATACTGTAGGACCCAGAAGCCTGCTTTTTTTTAAGAGTGTCCCAGTCAATTCTGATGTGGGAATATCAACATAAGGGAATTTTGGAGATGGAGGGTCTATCTCTTGCTCTTTTGTGAGGTGTGTTGGTCAAAGTTTATTTTAATCTTGGTGGTCTTCGGTTACTCGGTCTTCAAAAAGTCCGCTTATCTCCTTTCCTCCCTAGTTGTAACAGCTGATATATTCATGTTGCTTTATAATTTGCAGAACATACTTAAGTCCAGTTTTTTATTTGATTCTTATAGCAATTATGTGATGTGACTTTGTAGTATTCTGTATATGAGAGAAATCAAGGACAAATATCAGCACAAGGCCCAGGATGATAGAACAAGCACTTGAACTCAATGCCTTGTAACCTCACAGCCTGGACTATTTTCCTTAATTCAAGTTTATTTGTAAGAATTCCTTGAAAGAAATGGAAAATGCAGCTAGGCATAGTATGATAGTGATATAATCCATTATTGAGTACTACTTTTGATGAGATGCCCCTTTAAAAATTTCATCTAAAACATTTTTGAGTATAATACTAAAGTATATAATAGTCAATACATATAAGAAGCCTGCTCTGTCTTAGGCATTTACTTAAAAAATGCATTATCCAGGTATAATCGACATATAATAAATCACATCTACTTAAATTATGCAATTCAATAAGTTCTGACATACGTACATACGTGTGAAACCACAACCACATCAAGATAGTGAACATAGCCATTGCCTCTCCAAGTTTCTTCATGACCCTCTGTAACTCTTTCCTCTCACCCCTCCCTCCCCACCCCATTTCCAAGAAACCACTGATCCACTTTGTCATAATAGATCAGTTTGTATCCTCTATAAGCTTATAGCATACAGTATATAGTCTTTTTGTCTTTATTCTTTCATTCAGTAGAATTATTCTGATATTTATTCATTGTTATGTGCATCAGTGGTTCATCTTTTTCATTGCTCAGTAATATTCCATGGATGGCTTCTACTGCATTGTTTCCAGTTTGGCTATTATACACAAAACAGCCATAACTACTCATGTACAAGCATTTATATGGACATGTATTTCTTCTTTTGGGTAAATACTTAAGATTGAAATACGTGTTATGTTTAACTTTCAATATTTGAATAGATGGGTAGTGGTATCTCATTATGATGTTAATTTGCATTTTCTTAATAACTAATGATGTTCAACATCTTTTTATATGCTTACTTGCCATCTGTATATCTCCTTTGATGATGTATTCATTCAAATAATTTGACAGGCATTCTCTTTTCATCCTTTTGACAACATTACAAAGTGAGTACTATTATTAGCCCCTCTTACTGGGAGGTAGAAAGACCCTATAACTTTCCTAATTTCACCCAGCTTGCAAGAAAAAGGTAGGATTTGAACTTACGTAGTCAAGCACCTACGTTTGTGTATCACATTCATGCTATATATTCATACAAATTTGAAGTTTTTCTACCTAAACTCTGTTGCTCAGAGTAATGCATAAGCCAGATGACAAATGTAAATTGTAGA